GACGACTTAATAGAAACTTAAATATATCCATCTGAAAACTTATTTTAACATACGTTAATGTAGTATAAACTTTTCTAATTGCTACCCAGCTATATAATAAATTATTAAACTTTGGGTAATGAAATATTTGTCATACCCGATCTTGCTATATTCCCTAATATTTTGTGTAGAAAGAAAGTAAACCTGGTCGACATTTGATAAACAAATTCAAAAATTATTCTAACTTCTCCATAAATGGCATCTTCTTAGTACTGTTGATGCTCTTCAGTAGATACTACCATATACAATGAAGGCTTCATTTTGGAAAAATTCGGCATCGCAAGGGTCCGATGGTGTGAGGTTCGTAAAATCTGGCTTAGTTGTTTCTATTCTGACGAATTACCCAATAACAATTATGGTAAAAGCCTTTTTGATTAAGCTGCTGAAATGCAGTTATAGTGAAGATAGTATTAAACGTACTGTATTTTAAGCCTTAATTTTTTTTTTTTTTTAATTTCAACCACACTCAGCTACATCCAGTGCCGTGTCCGCAGATATCTTAGTGTCATGCCTCACTTGTGCTAAAAATCGGGTTTTGTTAGTCCAAAACCATATCTCATTAGGCCGACTGAGATAGAAAAAATACAATAATGTTGACTTACGAGTTATGTTTTAACTTCCCCGATATTCATTCATTGCCACTGAAATCCCGAGTTTCCAATTCCAACGAAGTACGAGTCACCCAATTGGTTAATCGGTTTTTAAACTTACAATGCTAGAATCCAGGGTTCGATTATCGTGACACAGCTTACTGTGCTAAAACTTAACACGCTCAATGATCTTCGATATTTAGTGTCAGTTTGCAAGTAAATTGTTGTCAGACTGCTATTTTTAAATTGTACAGTAAAAAATAAATTTAATTGTTTTGAGTTAGGCAGTACGAGTATTCTGTAATTCAATGGTTAAAATTAGGCGTACTCTATTAATTTCAGTGCCTAAAAATTAAAACGTTACTAATGATTTACTATCATCAAAACATAATATTGAATACGGAGAAAATGAGTATATAACGTTCCGCTGACACAAATTGTACTCATGTTGCTCGTGATTAGTTTTATTTCTGTTCGACACTACCACATCCATAGATTGAAGACAGTGCCATCTACCCGCACAATCACGTACTAAATAGAATCTCGAGACAAGTAAACATTCAATATTACATTAAAAAATACATAACCTGTACTTTAATAAATTTCTATGCCCTAGCTATCCCATCATTATGGATATGTTTATTCACAATCTGTCGCGCTCCTACAAAACTTTCCCGTTGACATTTTGTAAAGTATAATATGGTGATCAAACACCTACTTAGGAACAGGCGACGATCAATACAGCTTCTGACTTTGCATCAAGGTCAGTATTATTTAGTGGATAGCAAGCAACTGACTATTGAATGGAAAATGTTTAACTCCACCCAAAACACTGTTAATGTCTTCCTATCAACTACCGATTTTGGCCGACATTCTGTTAAACGTATTTAATGAGTCAGTAGAAGTCAGTTCAAAACACTGTTAATGTCTTCCTGTCAACTACCGATTTTGGCCGACATTCTGTTAAACGTATTTAATGAGTCAGTAGAAGTCAGTTCAAAACACTGTTAATATCTTCCTATCAACTATTGATTTTGGCCGACATTCTGTTAAACGTATTTAACATGTCAGTAGAAGTCAGTTCAAATCACTTTTTTTCGTGAATGTTTCAAAAACCTAGTTATATTTGAAACATAACTGTGTATTAGAAAGATAAACCTTTAAAAGATTTAATGTGTACGTTTCCTTAACTGAATGTTAAAACACTACAAGTAAGTAAAAACTTTAGGGTAGCAGTCGGCAAACTTGGCATGTTCAGGAAACTTACACCCTTCAAGTTCAGTATATATACAATCTCTGAACACTCGTAATTAATGTGACAGGGATACATCAACTGTTTTAACACTTTACCTTTACTGAGGAATGAAAATTGATACACATGCTCTTTGTAAACATAGCTTGAATCAAAAACTTTAAAACGAGTTATTAATTAACACAACTAATAAAGAAAATTACAGCTTGAAGGTTAAAAGTTTCCCCAGCACGTAAAGTCACCCAGTTTTAAGGGTAGGTATTACCCTAAACTCAAATTCAGTAATTTCCAATACCCCAAAATGAAGATTTTCAATATATCAACTTTTATTCAAAGAAACATTTTTTAAAGCTTCCTCCAGATTTAATCTTATCCAACTTTCTGGGCAATTTCCTTGGCTCGGGCTTTCTCTATTTTGGAAATACGGGCTGCAGATTTAGAGCCAACCATGCCACCTCCCCAGTGTCTGCGGATCTATAATGGAGGAGAGAAAAAACATTACAAACAAGTAATTTATGTCAAGATTACTTATTACTTCAACCAGTTAAATATAAACCCAAACATATTAAATTTCAATTTATTTAAACTTAATAAAATTATTTACCAAGTTCAGCTTATACTTTAATGAATGAACAGTAACAGGTCTAATAATGTCCAGTAAATTACTTACCTCGTCATAACGATCATTAAAGTTGGTCTTAATGGCTTCCACCAGTTTACTTAGTGAGGTCTTGTCCTCCCTGAAAATGTAAGATATTATATTATAACCCCGGGAAATTCAACCAGAATTTACCAATATGTAAATAATGTGCTCAGATTTAAAAAGCTCGTTTTAAATCAACATTGTAATTTCAGGTGAAGAAATTCAAAACATCATAGCACCTTTTGTAAACATTTTTTAAATTACGCAACCATAATTTTTTGTTTTTAAATTTAGAACATTTAAAATACGCAATCATAATTTTTTTTTAAAATTAGAACATTTAAAATACGCAATCATAATTTTTTTTTAAAATTTAGAACATTTAAAATACGCAATCATAATTTTTTTAAAATTTAGAACATTTAAAATACGCAATCATAATTTTTTTAAAATTTA